CGCAAAGAGCAAAAAAATGACATCACTCGGGCCAAGACAATAGTCTATTTTATTAAATTCGAAACATATAAATAGGATAGCTGTCCAAATTTTTTTTTTGTTATTTTTTCGTAGAGAAATTCCTCTCGGGCCATTTCAGCGCACGGAACTCAACCTTCTACATTCAGCCACATGAAATAATTGTTCGTTATTATTATTGTTCTGGTAACACAAAATTTTAACCCACGCAATTGTTGATTAAATCGGGAATTTAATAATAAAACATCTAATGTGTGTTTGATTCATTTTGTCAACAATCACTTCACGAACAATTGTTTGATTAACAAATGGTTCGAATTTAAGAAGTTGGAAGCAACTATTTGAAATAGTCTAATAAATTAAACCGTACTACTCGAAAATGTATTTAAAGGGTTGGTTTTCGACTTGGTTGAAGGATAACCCTCTTCCTAACTCTTCTCTTGACCATATCTCTCAATATAATCATAATAACCTTAATATAACGAATGTCAAAATGATGGTAGACGCGACCATTTTAAGATATACGATCAAAAGGAAATATGAACGATGAATGAAAAAATCTATTTAATAAAATTTTTTTTGCATGTAATAAAATTCCATTATTAACTATTAACAATCTAATTATATAGATCTTGATCGACCAAACCCGCATATATAGTTATTGAATAATTGATAATAATAAAACGTTAATTAAATATAATTGACAAACAGCTTCGTAGATTTCGACTTTAAGACTTACTTTGATCAAACCCGCCTACAATAATAAACGTTAATTTTGGAAACTTGGTTTGCAAATAGATCTTGACTTTAACACTTCTACCAAGCACGCCTATATAATTATTTGAATAATTGATAAAGCGAAATCGAATGGACTTACCCGAGGGTTGAAAATACCAATTACAACAATGATGAGAAATCCTCACGCAAAGCATTAAAATCCAAACATCTGGATTTTGAGGAACAATTCATGAGTTCCAACAGCAAGAGAAAGACCACAAATCACATCAGGGAGTCGGGTAAAAAAAGAAGAAGTGCAGACCATGACCCACAGGAAGAATCAAGCACATCAAGGGCAACGAAACTGACACATACAATGAAGGAAGTTGTCAGCAACAATAAATGTTATACGGATGCAGTAGAAAATTCGTACAACATTGAAAATGATGATGATATTAATAATAATGAGAATGATAAACGGCGACGGTGATGAGAGTTGTGACACTGAATAATTTTTATGATTCTTTGTGTTTTTTTTTCGCTAGAGATTGGACCCGGTTAGCTGGGTTATGAAAATTACCACCCGGGTGGAGAAAAATGAATGTAACACAATGGGACATCTGATTTATTATCAACATTTTTAATATGGATTATCCATTATCTTATAAATAATGATTTTATCAACAATATCGTTAGAGTTGTCTAGTTACATATTAATATATACTAATGAATTATTTTTGTTTTTTGGATTTTGTGTAATGTCACAATGACATTTAACATACAGATTATCCAACCTCTTATAAATAATAATTTAGTCAACAGTATTTTCAGAGTTGCCTTGTTACATATTAATATATTAATGTTTTTGAAAAAGAACATTGAATGTGAATTTCCATATAATATATACCACAATGATGTTTAACATTATGTCAGATTTATAATTCAAAAAATAAAATTATTTTTTTATCATTTATGTAAATTAAACCCATATTTAGAAAGATCTGTTCACTACCCGGTTGACCCGTCGGGTAAACCCGCGGGTCACCCGGGTGAAGTTTTTTTAGACGGGTCCAATCTCTAGGATGTCCTCATGACAATTTACTAAATTTTCTTGTTGAAGTTATTAAATGCTATTCTTAGGAACTAACAGCCACATGGAAAGAAAATGCGGTGATATGTCGGCTCAAACGGTCTAATACGGGGAATTTATTTGAAAATAACCAATAAAAATAACTATGATGACATCGGAAAAAAAAAGAATTCAAATATGATTAATACTAATACATATATATTGTACAATGCCAGAATTCGGATCATTATAACTCTCTAAAGTTTAGCTTTTTTCATCGAAAAAGATTTTAACCACTTTTATAATTAAAGAATACAAACCCGTACGTACTACAAATGATTCCCAAATTGGGTTAGCCGTCTAATATACCAAACTTGGAAAAATATTTTATTGAATTTTATAATGATAAGTATATATTACAGATGTGATGTCACACATTACTAGTAAAAAATACTTGTTCAAGTACAAGTAGTCTATTTAACGAAAAAATGGTTATATATATATTGCTAAATTTAATTAATTTGTGATAGTTTGGTTAAAAGAAATTTTTGGTGAAATCCCAATCCCTCCAATCCATATTGAATTTTTTTTTTGAATAATAAACATTACATGTGAAAGTACTATATTTAACGCAAGATTTACAAGACAAAAAGGGTATTTATGTATTGCGAATAAATTAATCGAGGTTAATTTGATTTTCTTCATAGAATTTAATTAAATCCCCTAATTGTGCTGTGTCGGGAATAATTGAATTTATCCCATGATATAAAAAACCAGTTTCGATATCAGATGGTTCATTTAATGTTAGCTGTTGATTCATCATAAATTCTGTGTTATCATTTGTTATATTGGTATCAGCATTGATAGTAGTGTGAATATAATTTTCAGCATTAATTATATTTTCAATATCCACTACATTAATATCATTATCAACAAATAGAGGAGTATTGTGATACGGTTGATTTGCCTGTAACAATCCCATTCTGTTTAATTGTTGTTCAGCTTCTTCTGTTGAATAGAGAGATTGGGTTTCTTGTACTGTATCAACTGTGCAATCATTATATGCTACAGCGATTGAAGGAAATGATGAAGGTGATGAAGGAGGGCATAGTGATGATGCAAATTCATTGTCGTTACTATTGCTATTGCTATTGCTATTACTATTACTACCACAACTACCATTATTATTATTATTATTATTATTATTATTATTATTATTATTATTATTATTATTATTATTATTATTGTGAAAATTAACTTCCTTCCATTTCAAATATCTTTCGTGAATATGATTGTCTTTATTGAGAGAAATGAATTTTTGATATTCTTTATCAAGTAGAGACATTAGTTCAAAGAATTCTATTATCTTTGGTTCTGATTCTTTTAAAATTTTCCATTCTTGTGAAGCTGTTTTTGAGATGTCTCGAATATGTTTAGTTGTATCTTTAATTCTTTCAAGTCTTTCATAATATCTACGAAATTGAATGAACTTGTTTGCCCATCTTAGAGTAACTCTTTTTCCTTTTTTTCTAATTTTTTGTGGCAATTTTCTGGGTTTTTTTGAAAGAAAATCTTCTGGTTTCACATTAGGTACAGGTGGGTTCTTGATCAAATTTATTTGTTCAACAGTGAAATTGGCATTTTTAATGAGGGAAGTTATTATTTCAGAGAATTCTTGTTCCATAGATTTTTAAATAAATCAAAAAAATAATTAAAATAATTATTTTTTTGGTTATTTTTTGATAATGATGTAAAAATAACATTACTTAAAAATGTATATTATATGCGGTTTTTGTTTACTGCGTTTGTAGATTCTAGATTCAAAAAAAACTTGTCTTTTTTGATAGAATGAAAAGAAAATTACCATAAATGTGTGAAAGTTATTATGTATTATAAAAAATCTAGTTAGCCCCTTGAAACGTTGTTGCACAAGATAACTGAATAATGTAAGTATTGGCCCAATTTAGTTATTAACAAATCATTGTATATTAATATAATAATAAACACAATCTGAATGTTTACCCAGTATGAGGCCAATAACATCACTCCAATATTATTATATTTACTCGTTCGTGTAATAAATGTCTTCCTTCGCCCATATTTATACACTTTTTCTCATTAGCAATAAATATGATAAATAAATGGCATTGTTTATTCGTAATGAAAATATTTATATCACATTATTTCAATTAAAGCAAATAATTATTATTGTATTTGATCTGATCGATAAGATAGTCATTGATAAAAAACATGAAGGGAAAGAAGGGAAAGATGTTTTAAAAAAAAAATTACTAATTATTATAGTTTAGCATTTATTATTGATATTATTATTGATGTTATAATTCAGTCATGCTCTTTCTCGTTTCTTTCGTTTATAAATATAATATAATATAAAAATTTATTTTAATTTGATAATCTCATGTTAGGCGAGATAATTTTTTGCTCCATAACATTACATTAATTATTCTGTTACAAAACCAATAGCATGGCCACAAATTAAAAGATTGTCCGAAATTATTTTTGGGCGTTAATTAAAAACATTTAAAATATTTAAATTAATCAAGATTAATCAAAAATTTCCCAGATTAACCATTTAGAGAGAGAATTGCTTCTGAAAAAAAGAATACATAAACAAAAATGCAAAATAACGATAACCGATAAACTAGTACTACATATCTAAACTCGATAAGTCGAACACAGCAATCAATTGTTTAAAGTACTTTATAATATAAATAAATGTCCGACTTATCGAGTTTAGATGTGTTCTAATAGTACTAGAGACGTGCATATTTGATCATCTGCATTTTTTTAAATATAAAGCCTTTAGAATTATCCTAATTAAGAAATGATATTCGATTTTTTTGAAGGCCATTTCTACCCAAAATTGAATGTTACCTCTCATTAATTAATCGAAAAAGTAGTAATTCTTTATTGTATATAATCATATGACGTAATAAAAATTTTATGGTGTCCCAAAAATAGTTACACCAATTAATTATTAACAAAATTTTCAATTATAATAACCGGGGACCTGATGCACTTTATTGTTATATTGTCAGTAGCCATCATCCTGTACCTATTCAGTATGCTAACATTCCGCACATATTCGGTATATTTTACGTGTAAAAAAACGCACTAGTACCCTTTCAGCCACAATTCTGCACTTCGTATTAAACCTAAATTTACCAAATCGCATAACACGTATTTGTTTTTTTAGAACGTACTTAATATAGGGAAATTTCGAGATGTAACAACCATAACAATAAAAAATTGCTAGGGCAAGACAGGTATCCTTCCTGGTGACTAAAGTTTACAAATAGATCCAGTGGTGGATGAAGATAACAGTTTGTAAATCTATTTAGTAATTTGTTAACTAATGAGGACAATCAACAAGTACTGGTTCATCAAGTTTATGCATTTCAAGTTTTGGGGAGAACAATGGTTACTATGAAAGAGGATCATGAAGCTTTAAAGAAAGTAAGTAAGTTTCAAGAGAACCGAGATGAAATAAATAATAAGGATATGGATAAATTGGAAAAATTTTCTTACTATGAGAAATTAACTGACAGAAGCAAAAAATAATAGTGTTGATAATAATATTATCGGCATTGATAATGATGAGATTAGTAAAAGATTATTATTTAGCATGATACTATTTTAATATAAAAGGCCTTTCATTTAATGATAAGGACATTATAATTAATAAAGTTGAATAATGTTCATTAATAGAGGTACCTCTCTCTGTATATGAATTTCTCTAGTTAAGCACTATCTTTCCTTTTTTTCAATAAAAATAAATCATGGCTAAACTATCTGGTGTTGCTGTACAATCAGAAAGAAACTATTAATTCTTTCTTTGTATATTATTATTTGGGAACAAAAGAATTATTATGAAAGGTAGAAATCAAACAAATCAAACAAATAGTTTTTATTGCTTTTCTCTGAATGAATTTATTCAAATATTGTGTTTTTTTTACCCGTACATAAATCCCGAGCCAGTTTTAAAGTTGTGCTCGATCGTTGAAAATTGAGGATATAATTTCTTAATAAAATGTATTAAGTTATGTGATAAAAATAATATTTTTAGCATTATTAGTATGTTAGTATTAGTCACTTATAAATTTTTTTTAAATATCATTTTGAACATTATTACTGTACTGTCAAAATTAAATTGTTAAGAAAAAAACGGCGGTGACAAAAAATTGCAATTACACAACATAATTGAAAGCTTATCAAGTATACTTTGTTAGACGGTATTGCCAATTTATTTCGTATCTTTTTTTTAGAACTTTGATAAATTTTGTCTTTGAAATTTAATACAGTAATGATGGCTCTGACACAAAAATATACATGATATTATAATCATACAAAAAATTATATCAGTTCTTAGCGAAAGTTTTGGAGATTATGTATACAAATTTTGATACTTTTAGATTTTCTAGAATTTTGTCAATTGGAAATAAAAAAATTTGATTATTTTGAAAAAAACAATTCAATGCGTAAATTCTTTAATAATTGCTTTAAAGTCTACATAACAATATGCTTCAAAAATTTTATATGTACAGTGTGTTTCAAAAAAAAGGGCGCGCACAATGTAAATTCATTTTGAAAATTTTGAGATGAATAAAAAATTTTTCACATGATGAAAAATGATTGGATATCTTGCTTATATGATAAGCAACTCCTATATGTATTTATCATATTGTCTTTTCTTTATTTTTTGACGTGCAAAAACTTTTATTGATGAAAAAAGAATTCGTGCAATAGACTGGCCATCCAATAGTCCTGACTTTAATCCCATTGAGAACATGTGGTATATCGTGAAAAATAATGTCGAAAAAAGAATGCCAAAGAATGTTGACGAATTAAAGAGATCTATGGTTGAGGAGTGGGAGAAAATTCCACAGGATACGGTCAAAAATATTATTATGTCTATGAAACGGAGATGTGAATTGGTATTAGAAAAAAATTTGATAGGATCTAATTTTATTTGTTTATCTTGCATAATTGTTAAGATATGCAATTTTTTTGTGCGCGCCCTTTTTTTTGAAACACACTGTATTAGTATAATATAAGATCTCCCGATTCTCTAGTATAATTTTTATTAACTTTAGCTACTTTTTCATTAAAAACAATATTTTACAAATTGCCTTTTTTTCCTGAACACATGTACTGCAGGAGAAACTTTATTTTACAATATAAAGAAGCAATTGGTTTTTATTTATGTAAATAATAAATAAAAGATTACTATTACGGATACTTATGTTTTTAAAAATAGGACGTTGACTATATTTATAGTATAATAATAGGAATGCCTAGAAATTGGAAATACAATGCACATTTTTAGCTTTTTATATATTATATTTGTATCCATTAAAAACAATAAAACAAAAATAATCTTTTAAACAAACCCAAAAAAGAATTAAAATAAAAATAGTAGAAATAATAATAGAATAATAAAAATAATAAAAATAATACTTTTGGTTTTAATTGTACACAAAAATTTTTAATTTTACAAGCCATTGGAAAAAGAATAAAGGGTAGATTGGTTACCAGAATAGTATTGATGAATAATCTCATTTCCATTTGATGGTTCTTCACAATCGTCTTCTTGATGTGAACTCATAGTATTAGTGTTTGGTGATGAGCCATTAAAAAAATTTCTGATAAACTCATCTGTTATTGACTCGTTACCAGTATCGTCATTAGCACTAATATTAATATTAACATTATTAACAATATTGTTGCTTTGTTGATGGCTAATGAGGTGTTGAGTTGAATGAATTAATTGAGCATGGTTATGTGTGTTACTGCGGTAAATGCCAGAAACAAAGGTTGATGGCGGTGGCGGCAATGATAATGAATTTTTTCCACTTGAACTTGTTTTAATGATGCGACTATTGTTATTATTCTCGAGGAAAGTTATTTTACGATTTTCTTCTGCCATTTTTGCCAAAATTCCAAAATAAATTTTGATTATATCCGTGTCTTCTAATGCTCTCCAAACAGCAGATGCTCTACGCGAAATAACTACTATAGGAAAAGATTCATCTGGAAAGGTTTCTCTAAGATATTCACCAAAGTTTTTTAAAAAAATTATCCAAGGATTTTGTGCTCTTGGTGGATTTTCCCTTGGTTTATCAGAGAAAGAAACCAAATAGTCAATTTTCATTTTCACTATTTCTGGTGGCGTCTCGAGCAATTTTTTTTGTGCATCTGACAAATTCGATTTTTTAATAAGAAATCTCACTTTCCTTGAAAAAATCGCCATGTTTTTTATAAAGTGTCTTAGAAATTCTCAAGGTTATTTTTATTTATTTATCTGTAATCTAATGCGAAAAGGGCGATTTATATAATATTAGTACATATTAAATTGTATATATTAATACTAATATTAATATTAATATTAATATTTGTATATATTAATATTAATATATAAATTCCGCAATCAATCAATCAATCAGTCAATCAATATAATCGTATCAATCAATCAGTTAATCAATCAATCAATCTATTTCTGCATTCGTCCATTTGTGTAAGTAAGAATCACACACATGGTGAATTAAATCGATAATCGATAATTTGACAATTCTTATAATTCAACTTTTTTACTTTTTGATCTTTTACAACTTGCTTGTTTACAAATCGAAGTTTGATAAATAGTCTAAAGCCTGTTTGCTTTATAATTTATTATTGTTACTTTTTTTAAAAAGTCCTTTAATTGACCAATTGACCAATCAATAATTATAAATAATTAAATAATAAACGCTTATTGATCAATCAATAAATCTAGAATGTTACACCAATTAGTACAGCACTGTGTGTGTTAATTAATTATTTAAATCAAGCATTCAATTTTAAACGAAGCTTTAACTGCTATTACCACACCGCTATTCAACTTGTCAACCAGCCCGATAGGATCATCAATACAGTCGTACATATTCTAAAAGGACAATCAAATCTTTTATATCACATGTATCATGAAATAAACGCGTGATTGCATCTTGGACAAATAAATAGACAAAATAATTCAATATTTACTTTTTTGTTGGTAAAAAAAATAACAAATATGTGAAAATCCATTTATTTGTTGTTTTTTTCGTATAACGAAGGAATCAAATTTTAAAGATTACCAATGCATACTTTCTAACCGTCTTACTCCTAATTTGAAATTGAGATCAGCAATATATACTTTTGTAAATTAATAATGAGGGTTAATTTATTTATTACGATTCGGTTGTGTGGCACGACACGCACTATTGAGGAAATGCAATTGTTATTGTTATTGTTATTATTATTTACAATGATTCAATCTTACATAATGAATTAATAGTTATTAAGCGAATAATGGCCATAATTTTTTTAAACACATGAAGCCGGCCGATTATTTTTTTTCGCGAAATTGAAAATTTTTAAAGAAAATGTCACTCGGAATATATTTGCGTATTGCAACCTTTTTCGAAAAAAGAATAGCTGCTTACCGCAGACTATTAATATATATAGAAATGATCGATAATTATTTACTATGACTTTTTACGTTGGCAGTAAAAGTTGTGATCAAAACTTCTAGCATAGTAACATAATAAATCGTAGAATAAGCGAAAGTCGAAACTAGTTTTGATTAAAAATAGTTTTGGTGACCAACAATGTTATAGGCGAAACTAAATTCTACCATAACCAACACGTGATAGCTAATACAAAATTTTCCGTATGAGCTGATTTGGAAATATTCGCATATAGGAAGTAGATTTGACTCAGGGACGGGGAAACTATATTAAACTCGGGTTAAATTTTTTTAAAAAAAAGAAAACCAAACAATGACCACTCGATAATACATTTTTGGTTCATCTGTTAAACAGAAAAAAATATACTTTTGAAATTCGCACGTCACATATGATTTTGTAATTTATTACTACGTAACTAATAATAATATTATTATGTGATTAATAAGTAATAATAACAACTAAAAGTACAGTATATTATTCCGATAATGTGCCTTTCTATAACATACACCAAGTAAATCCTAACATAAGAAATTTCTCTTTTATATAACGAACGTATTTCTCTGTTGCATATATGACAGAAGATTCGTTACAGAGAGAAAAAACTAATAAATTTTATTTCAATGTAAAAAAATCAATTTAATATGATTAATATATTTGTAAATAATTACCATAAAGTAAAGATGTTTTTTAATAAAAATTAGTTCAATTTGCTGCGTCAAATACACCATATTAATATAGTATTGCCCACAAACAGCTATTATATAACAAACACTCTAAAGTTTAGCTTTCTTCTTTCATCGATTTTCAAAAGAAACCAATACATATTATTCACAAATTTGGTTAGCACGTCTAATAAATCACCAAAATAATTTTATTGAATTTTATGTTACATTACATTGCTCATTACTATTACTACACAATGAACCTCGATTTAAATGTAACTCAATTTAACGGATCGAGGATAAAATATAATAATAATAATAATGATAATAATGATGATGTTAATAATAATAATAATAATAATAATAATAATAATAATAATAATAATAATAATAATAATAATAATAAAATTCTTCTCAATGTAACAGATTTTTGGAAAATTTTTCTAATTGCCTAAATTATTCACCAAACCGAAATTCAATGTGTAGTAGTAGTAATTAAAATGAAAAATGAAAAACGAAAAATGAAAAATAAAAAAATAGAAAATAAAAATAAAAAATAAAGTAGAAGAAAAAGCCAAGTTTAGAAGGTTACAACAATAAAAGATAAATAAGCACACGTGTCGAAATAATTGACGCAAGATCACGACAAAATAAAAAATGGATTTATGTATATATTACGAACAAGGTTAATTCTGATTTTCTTCACAGAATCTAATTAGATCCTCCAATTGATTTGTATCGGGGGTAATTGGATTTACACCATTATATAAAAAATTAGGTAGTTCATTTAGTATTGGTTGTTGATTCATCATAAATTCTGTGTTAATATTTGTTATATTGATATCAGCATTGATATTGTTGTGCATATAATTTTCAGCATTAATTATATTTTCAATATCCACTATATTAATGTTATTATCAATAAATAGAGGAGTATTATGATACAGTTGATTTTCCTGTAACGATTCCATTCTGTTGAATTGTTGTACAGCTTCTTCTATTGAGTAGAAAAATTGAGTTTCTTGCACAGTATCAACTGTGTAATTATTGTATGCTACAGTGGTGGTCGAAGGAAATGATGAAGGTGATGAAGGCGATGAAGAAGGATATAATGATGTAGTAAATTCGTTGTTGGTGTTATTGATATTACCATTACCACTATTATTAATATTAATATTAATATTATTATTATTATTATGAAAATTAACCTCCTTCCATTTCAAATATACTTCATGACTATGAATGTCTTCGTCTTTTTCGAGGGAAATAAATTTTTGATACTCTTTATCAAGTAGAGACATTAGTTCAAAGAATTCTATTATTTTTGGTTCCGATCTTTTTAATTTTTTCCATTCTTGTGAAGCTGCTTTTGAGATGTCTCGAATAGGTTTCTTTGGATCATTGATTCTTTCAAGTCTTTCATAATATCTACGAAATTGAATGAACTTGTTTGCCCATCTTAGAGTGACTCTTTTCCCTTTCTTTCTAATTTTTCGTGGCAATTTTCTGGGTTTTTTTGAAAGAAAATCATCCGGTTCCACATTAGGTACGGGCGGGTTCTTAATCAAATCTACTTGTTCAACAGTGAATTTGGCACTTTTATTGAGGAAAATTATTATTTCAGAGAGCTTTCGTTCCATAGATTTTTTAAATAAATCAAAAAAATTTAAATTAAAAAAGTGCCTAAACTATGGACGAAATTACTAATTATTTTTAATTAAAAAAATTTTTTTTATAATATAATAATAATAAGTGTGGATTTTTGAGTAAATATTTGGATACTTTTATATGTGGTTATTTTACTGCGTAATTTATAATTTCAAAATGTTGATAAATAAAAATCATGAATTAATGAGAGAAAATTACTATAAATGTGTGTGAACAAAGCCGAATAGAATTATGATTATTGCTAAAGTTTATGGTTAATGTTAATCAATTATTATTAATAAAAAATTAAACATTAATTGAGCCATTATTATTTATTACACAAAGATAATAACGATGACCTAAATTTAGTCGTATTTGCCATTAACAAGTCATGGTGATACTCATTGTTCGTCATTAATATAAAATTTTTTCCCAAATTTATATTTTTTTGCCATTAACAATTAATGGTATTGGCGGTTATTGATTATTCTTAACGAAAATATTTACATCACATTATTATTTAAATTGAAGCAAATAAATATTATTGTACTTGATCTTGATAAGGTTGTCATAAATAAAAATATGAAATAAAAGAAAGATATTTTTAAAATACTTCTTTATTGATGACGCACGCAACAATATCAATCAATCAGTAACAGATGTAATTAAGCATTTTTCTCTTTATATATATAAAATGTAATATTGAAAGAAACAACTTTTATTTATTTATAATAATATTTATACCACGTTGTGTGGCTTATTTTAAACATATATTACAAAAACCAATAGCATGGTCACAAATCAAAAGATTCTCCGAATTATTTATGAGTTGGCGTTAGTCAAATTAATCAAAAATGCGGGCAGTTAACTATTTATATAATTTTTCGGAGAATTTATTTATTTATGTATGCATATACATATTTAAGGGTGGTCGACCAATTGAACCATATCTTTATATCACACACAATGAATTAATGAATTCTAGCCTTTTCAACAATTATCAATTATTAAAAAAAAGAATAAGTAAACAAAAATGCAAACAAACAAATTAGAATATGATAATTGATAACCGGTACTAGTACAAAATAATATATTTTTTTTTATGTAGGTCATATGGTTATATCTACTGATCAAAATATTATTTTTTTGACATTCATTTTCTGTCTGTAATTGAAAAATAAATAAATCAAAAATGCGTGAAAATCTTTAGTATTTTCGCGGATTAAGTAAAAATTTATCCGTTCGTCACGTCACATGACTACACTATACCTTGATACCAAAATAAGATTAAATGTTTCGTAAATGACTTCATTTACGCCTTGAGCTAGTTTAATTTGATTCACAATTGCAATATTTACATTTAGCATAATTTTATTTATATCCAGTTAGTAGTTGGCTAGTTAGCTTTCCAAGATTTTCAGAGACAATTGTTTTCTTAAAGTATTTATAAATTTTATTTTTAATTTTTTAAAAATGATACATTAATTTCTCTATGGACAATTGCGTGGTTTCAAAAAATTGTATGCATTAATATGGCAAATTTCTCAAAAAAAAATACTTAATAAAAAAACACGATTGCATTAAACAATCATATGCCATTTATTAAAAATAACAAAAGTAGATTGCAACTTGTCATATATTGCACAAAGTAAATCTAGTAGAAAACCAAGGTCATGCATAACCTTATTTATGTAGATGAAAAAAAAAAATTGTGTTTGAAAAAAAAAACAAGATATGTATGCAAGTACACAAAAACGTATAAAACGTATTGTAATATTTCGGTGACAAACAGGATATGATAACGTTGATAAAATTGGCAAGTAATGTTGTAAAATAAATTGGTGTTACTTCAACATAACAAATAAATTTTACGTCATAACATATGACATATGAGTATGCATTTCAGATTTTGTAGAACACAAATTATTGGCATTTTATCCCATGGTTTTAAAATTGTTAAAACGGCTTCTAACGCGTGATTTTTTCTATGTTATGGCAAAGTTTTGCCTTTTGTGTTCAGTTAAAATTTTAAAACTCTTTAAAAAAAAGTAAATAAAAACATGTGATAAAAATATATTAGGTTTCTACATCAAAATGTTAATTATCATGTGGGTTCTTTAAAAACATCAGGTCAAAAATTTTTGATTACAAGAATCTAGCCAAGTTCATTTTTTTATTTATCCAATCTACAAAACCTGGAAACAAAATCATATTAATACCTACCATAAATATCCGACCACCTGACGATCATTTTAATAATTGGGAAACTTATACCTCATGCAGTTCAAAACTTTATTAATTAAACCGGTACTGGTGCATTGAGTAAACGTGTTTTTAAAGTTAATTTTAATATAAACTTAAAGTTTCGTCGAGTTTGCATTATTAATGAATTTAGGATGAAAACTTTAAATTAGGCAAAAAATTTCGTGATTTTTATGAAAACTTTGAGCTTAGTAAAAAGGTTCAGAACTCTGTTGAATCATGAATTATGACATTAAGTAAGTCCACTTAAAATAGCTTTAATTATATATGGTTAAAATTTGAGAAAATTTGATCAAGTATAGACAACAAAACGTAAAGCCTTAAAATTTGCATTTTGTCAACTTTATTAATGATAAAATTACGGGGTGGTCGGATACTTTTTTAAACCATTTTCACAAACTAATTTATACTGACACTGTATTGTAAATATATGCAATCTGTTACGTTAAGCACGTTTTATTAAGGTAACAATATACATTACAACAAAAAAATTTGACCTTTTATTAAATGTAAAAATTCAATCGGAAATTTGCTTATTGACCCACCATCCATTGCTTTAATCTGTGCCATTAAAAATATGTCTTGTTCTGGTTTAGAGAGAGCCTGAAAAGATTCTCTTAATTTTGCAAATTGTTCCCTGGGAATTCTTGAAGAACAACCACAATTACATCCCTTTTCTAAAAAATCAATTGCTTTTTGATATTCAGCAGAACCATTGTACTTGTTATTCTTTTTCATATACACTTATCCCTATATATATATAATTGTGTTTTCACTTTGTAGTTTTTTATAATTGTTTTAAAATTGAAGGAAAGTATATGAATGGAATTAAACTTAGATGAACCAATTAAAGACATCTGCTGTAATTGGTTATTTGCGGCAATGGTAGCTACCATAAGGTAGTTACCCCTGGTAGTTACCATTATAAAATAATTATGGCAAATGGTAGCTACCACTAGCTATTTATGGCAATGGTAGCTACCAGCCCAATCATTTATGGCAAGTGTCTTTAGAACCAATGGAATAGTTTTAGGTAAATGATTTAAAAGATGATTGTTCAGTAACTTGTGAAGAGAAATTGGAAAATTTGGTCAACCTCCCCATGAAAAATAATTATGGCCTAGATTTAAATTGGCTAATCATCATTAATAATCAAAATGAGAAAAGACACAAACAATAAATGAAATAATAACAAGTTAATAAAAAATTGACTACCTTTACCAATGAAATTTTCCACACATTGTTGATCATAAACAGAAAATGTTATTATTGCTGTAACAAATCATGTGTAGTGATTCATATTGTTTACTTTTTATAGACATAAAATTTATGAGATAATCAATTATTATTTATTATTATGTTCAAAATATCTTCTGAATAGATTATAACAATAAGATTAATTATAGTTTATTTATATTTTTATTATTTATATATTATTATGTATTTTTAACATAAAAAGAATTATCCTCTAAGAAATAAAGGCAATTTTTATTTTTACAATAATTAAAGTACCTGTTCGAAAATACTTATAATTTATCTTGTTGAAAAGTAACTCTTACAATTGTAAACAAATTATATTTTACAAAATAATCAATTTTTGAAACTTAAAAATTAATTTATATATAATGATTATTACACTAAGGTAAATAACTTTATTTGTAAAATGCTACCTACAAGAACAAAGAAAGATGTGACTCTAAAAAATTTTAAATTATGTAAAAACCTATCTCCTTCAATAAGATTACAAAGTGCACCAATGTATTTAAATAATTGTTTGATTGACCTTGAAACGTGTAATGGTGTGTGATTGGACCAGCCTTGGATTCCATGCAATCACTGACAATTTTTTATCTTGTATATTTTTGATACAATTAATTATATATCTTAGTTAAAATAAAAATAAAATAAATAAACATCTTGTGATTATATATTATAAAATTAATATTAATATTGATTACGAAAAGCCAAATACCAGCCATTCGTTTACCATCATCAAGAATCTTATAATTACCCAGTGAGTTCTGCTCCGTGCTTTGATTTCAGTAGTATTCATTTATATAAAATAAAAGACATCACATTATATCAATGCAAATTAAAAAAAGTTACCTCTGGTTAGTTATTAACACATTTCTTTTTAGAGCCCAATTGTGCCAAATAACAACATTCACATTTTGTCATCTGTCAAAAAATAAATTGTTTTTCCAAAAAAAAAAAAAAATATCAATCATGATTGATTTTTTTTTTTTTTTGTTAACTAATACAGCATAATGGACACTCATTTTGTGCAACAGTCATTTGTATAATAGGCAGGTGGTTACACAGAGCCCGTTGCTTCTGAAACTTCACTAGAATATAGCTGTAGCCTCTCTAAGTCCAGATCATCAGCAAGATCAAAATTATCTCACACTTTTATAATCAAACTTTTGCAAGAACTTTCACCATAACATATGTTATGTTGATCATTTTTTTTGTGATCTGCAACAGTGTCCAATATGCTTACTAATACATAAATAATTAGTGTACATGCTGTCGATCAAAATAATAATCTTTTCTTTAAATATTTTTTTAAAAATGGCACCACCAAAAAAAGAAATAAATAAAAGAAAGCAAACCAATACAACTAGGAATGCTAGGTAAGTGTTGTTTATCGTAAGAATGGTGGTGGTGGTTATTGCCACTTGGCACTATACTATATAGTTGTTTTTTTTAAAAATAGTGATTGATATTACAGCAACTCATCATTCTATATATAACTTTACAACATTATATTTAATCAACAAATACTATATAATAATGACAGTTTATTTAAAAATCAAAAAAGACAAAAAAGAGAACGAATCAATAGAAGCTGAAAATATTCCCATGTAAGGCTGCTTTCAATATCATTTTTAGTAGTTTGGCGATTTGACGATTTAACAATTTATGTGTTAACACTTCTAGTGTTGTTGATGATGAAGTACTTGAATCATTAATGAAAGAAACAATTGTGGGCTCCATTAAATACATGATTGGCTTGTTTGATGTTGAAAAAGCATTGGTAGAGTGGAAGGAAAAAAAGGAATGGCCTTGCAATGAGTACATTTTTAATAATATTGTCATGTATAATTTATACGTGTATTAATATTGACCAACAATTTCTACAATAATAGTTTAGTGTATTATGATATTCTAAATATAACACCAGGAAGCAACAGTAAATTTATAAAAGAACTACCATCTCATATAAAAACCATTATCCTTAATCATGAAAAAAAGTCCTTTAATTTTGATAATAATGATATTAAGTCTATGGGATCAGATATGATTAGAGTATATATATAACAGTGTCTAACAAAGATTTTTGCTGTTATTTTTAAAAGAAACTTGAAAATAATCTGGTTAACATGTTTCATATATTCATTTAGATTAGTGATTTTAAAAGGGCTGTTAATGAATTAAGGATACCGGCTGCAACTTTTGATGATGGTTGCTACCATCTTTGCGTCATATAAAAATGATTGCAACCACTGGTTGCAACCACCTTTACAACCATTTTGTTTCTTTTTTTGGATTGAGACATGGAACACTATAATGAATATTTTATATTAATGAGAGAAGATTCTTCCAAAAAATATTTATGGGACTATTCATATTTACTGTAAGTGTATCTATTTGTATTAAAAAAAATTTAGTATCATTATTAAATTATTATTTTTTTTTCCAATAGATTAAATTCAATTGAAAGAGATAATGAATTATTGAAAGATAGTTTATCAGAAAGGCACTACAGATAATCCTTTTTTACTCCAATGATGTCTAGTTTATTTCATGATTATACTCAAGATATGGCACTAATAGATAACACCTATTATTTAAGTGGAGAAAAGTGTCTTTTTTAAAGACTAGTGCTGTAAATTATTATGATGGTAGTAATTGTATTTACAGCATATAAAAAGTGGTTGCAATTACCTTTGCAACCACTTTTGCAACCATACTTTTTCCTTTTTTGAATTATGGCACTAGTCTTTAGTCTTTTTGCATCAGCAGAAGATTACAATTTAAAGAAAGATGATAATGAAACCCGAAGCACTGGACGAAAAATAGACATAGTTTGGTGTATTGAACCAATCAAATTAGAATTTGCCATAGGAGAAATCAGTGGTTCGCCTAATCAGAGGTGTCACTCACATTTCTTTGATGATAAATTAAAAATTGCAAAGGTGTTGAAAGTGATGCTTAACAAAATAGTAAGGACATACAGCAGTAATAGTTCCATGCTAAATCATTTAAATTTGTATGGAGTACAATCTTATAGTAAGTATTTCATCATTAATAGTATTCCTGTTCTGATTTAAAAAAATTTTTTTTCAATGTCATTCTTCAACTATTAACTCTTAAATGAAATTGACAGATCATAATTATACATGAAGTCAAAACTATTTCGACCATTTGCAGATCTGGTCAAAATAGGGTTGAAATAAGGTTGAAACTGATTTTTAGCCTCAAGTTGAAACATTTCGACTTTGGGGTTTTAATTTTGACTTCATGTATAATCATAATGTATTCCTGTATGAATTATCGATTCCATACAAAAATCTGTATTTATTTCGAGAAATAAAAAGAATAGCATTACTGACATCAATTATCAATATATCTTTATTAAAAAATTGTGTTTCGAGTTTTCTGGATCTCAAGGTACAAAAATTACTTTTTTGAAAAAAAAAAAACAAAATAAAAATAAATTGAATTTTTACCAATACTTAATTATCACTAGTACTTACTTAATTATCTCCAGTATATTATAAATAAAAGCTGATTAGATATAAACAAATATATACTTGAATCGAGATTGAGAACTCCAGATGATGAGGGTAAATCTAGCCTATTTATCACACCAATGAAAATAATATGTAATTTGATAATCAGAGAATTAGATGGCGAATTATTTGAAATAAATACTAGATTAAATGGTGAACTATTATGTAAAGGTTGGTTGCTGTGAATTTTTTTGATTAATAAAAACAAAGTTAATAATTCTAATTCAATTTTTTCATTAATTTAAATTGTTTTATTCAGCAAAAAGTCCTTCTTCTGAATGGTATTACCAACTATATTATTAATAAATAAATAAATAGTTATATATATTAACATTACATTATAATTAGCAAGGATATATATATATATATATAATATTATTTATGTTTAAAGAAAAATTTTCAAACTAAAAAATTTTTTTTTTAAACATTGACTAAACAAATAAATTTATGTATTGCACAAAAGAAAAAATAAAACGTCCACTGAATTAAAAAATTTTATTTTACCATTACTATGTAGATAATGTTGTTATTAAAATTCCATCGCTGTTGTCAAATACATTCTCACTTATCTATCAAACATTAGATACGTCATTTGTTACACACAATTCAAAGGATTACTCTTACCAGTGAGTTTTTTTTGCCTTATAAAATATATAAATATATAATATATAATAAATAATATAATATAAAAAATAAAATTGCTTAAACAATAATAATAGAAACTAGTAATCATAACTAAAATCGATTACTGCAATTACTGGTGTTCCTAAGATTAATAGAAATAGTGATCGTTCAGTAGTAAAAATCTAATAACTAATGATTAAATAGATAGAAAGATATTAGAAAGTTAGAAAAACTAATTTTTATTTGCTCTCTCCATATGTGTGTGTGTGTGTGTGTGTGTGTGTGTTTATTTTACATTTATTTCTTAGTAAACTACTCTTACTTTGAGGCTTCTTAGGTAGAGTTAATTAAATTTTTATGGTAGCAAATGAAACTGAAATTAATGCAATTAATACAATAAGCAAAGTGAAAGGATATCTTACTTATAATAGTCAACCATTAGAAGAGAGGAAATAGCCAAGTTTCAAGAGAAATCAGAAAAGTGAGGTAAAAGACAAAAACAAGAGTTGTTAGATAAGATTAAACAACAAGAAGCAGAAATGATTAAATTGACTCAGAAATTGAACAATTGAAAACTTTAGCCCCTGAGTTAGTCAATAAGTTAAATGCTTATGAGGCAGAGAATGAGAAATGAAAGAACCAGTTAGAACAATTACAGCAGAATGGTCAACTAACTGCATAAATCGAGATTAAAGAAACTAAGAAATGACCTTGATTGAAAATAAAAAAGTAATTGAGGAAATTTCCTCTATATAAATTAAAATTCATTCTGACTATCAAAGAAAATGAATGGTATTTATTTTCCTTTTAAAGATTTTTGCTTTTTATTAGGTAATAATGCATCATCATGATGCTTTCTTTTTCCAACATTTATTATTTCTCTTTCTTCATGGTAAATTTCATAAGTAATTCTTTCTTTTCTTCGATAAGCTTCAAGTGTTTGAGTATCATTTATTTTGAAAATGTAAGGAGCAATTTTCTCACCTTGTTCTTTCTTCAAAATACTTCTGATAGTACTGTAATTCTTGGGTTCCATAGTGGATCTGATATAAATAAGTTTCATATTAACTATTTTTGTCTAGACAATATCATGATCACATTACATTAGTAATACAATTGCGATATCAAACACTATTGATCCCTGAAATTTTTGGTAATACCAATGTTCACTTTGTCCCATTTGATCTAAAATTTTTTTTTAAGTGTGAAATAAAAAATTAAATTTTTAGATCAACCACAATTACAAATTTAAATTTACAATTTGCAAAAAATGCCTGTTCCAGATTTTTTCTCTCATCAAAAGGATTTCACATTTGACTTTGAAGATTACATAAAAACAGAATTAGGTCTAGGAGTAACAAATAATTCAAGCAAGTATTACAACTTAAAATTTTCATTTCTAAAAAAAATATATTTACCAATACTATATAGTTTGTCAAGATCCTTTCAAAAGGAATTTGTACAAAAAAAAGTATAAAATCTAAACATTATCAATAATAATAATCATCATCTAACAATAACAGGTCATCAACAACAACAACGAGAAAAGGCGGTAGTATGTAAGCATTGGTTACGGGGGCTTTGTAAAAAAGGAGAACAATGTGAATTCTTGCATGAGTTTAACATGAGAAAAATGCCTGAATGTTGGTTTTATTCAAGATATGGCGAGTGTAGTAATGAGGATTGCATGTATTTACATATTGATCCTGAAACTAAAATTAAAGAATGTGCTTGGTATGCTAGGGGATTTTGTAAACATGGTAGGCGATTTATTGTTTTCTTCCTTTACTATTTAGAAAAAAAACTGAGTGGCAAAAAAAAAAAATTAATTTGAAAAAAAAAAAGTTTTTTTATTAAAATTGATTTTCCTTCCTTCCCATGATTTATATAAATCTAATATAGGACCACATTGTAGACATAAACATGTTAGGAAAGTTGTATGTCAATTATATTTAAGTGGATTTTGTCCTAAAGGATCTGAATGCCCTAATGGACAGTAAGTTTTTAATCAATCATTTGTAGATGAAATAAAAATATTTTCAAAAAGCTAAAAATAACATTAATTTGTTTGTTTGTAGTCCAAAATATGAATTACCATCTTCTCAACGTGAACATGATGGATTTGACGATGATCATCTCATGAGCGATCATCATCCAAACCTTCATAACTACAGTATTAACAATACCCTAATCAACAATAGCAATAATTCTATTATTAATAATAACAATAATAATAGCAACATGAACATTAATAATAATAATATGAATATGGGTATTAATAATATTAACAATATTAATAATAATAATAACAACAAGATTGCTACCGAGATTTCAGAAGATGTAAGTGCGAATATTTGTGAGGGAAAGCGAAAGAACGAAATAATTATAATCATAATTTACTTTTTTTTTTTTTTGTTTGTTTATAATATTTTAGCGCCAACCAGGAAGTCACCACACAAATAATTATAGATCACTGGCCGAAGTTACATGTTTCAAGGTTAGAGCAATTTATTTATTCAAATTTAAAAACCCCCCCCCCCCCATTTCACACAATAATAATTACTAACCGATATGATTATAGTGCAGGGAGAAAGGACACTTTGCAAATAGATGTCCAAAAGGCCAAGGAAATCGATACCAGTGATTTTATTTTTTTATTCCCATTTTCATTTTTATTAAGATTACCAAATGTGAACTATCTATTATTTACCATATACAAGCGACATTCTTTTTTTTGTATATAATTCCAATTTTTATAGAATGATTGTGTTATGTGCCTATTTAATATAAAAAGATATTTATTTAGATATTTTTATATAATATACATTTTTTTCTCGATCATATATATATATATATTTGCATATATGTAAATACTTAGGCATAGTTTATGTAGGCATTGTATGTAATCCCACTTTATATATATATAATAATTAATTATTTATTTATTTTCAAAAAATAATTTTTATTCATAGAAAATTTACTTTAGGTCATTCATTATAATAGATAAAGAGAAAGAGAAAGAGATAGCAAGAGGTTAGATTTTATTTATATACACGTTATTTAATTGGTAGCCATGGCATTATTATTAACATTACGAGCATTTTTGTTAATTTTGAAGAATAAAAAATTTATTTATTTATGCAAATGATAATTACAAATGAATGAAAATGCAAACAAAATATGAAATAAAATAAATGAATGTATTATATATAAAGAATGTTTTAGAGAATGTCTATGTCTAAGAATGTCCCCACAAATAACTTCTATTTTTAACACCAAAATATTAAACACCACAACTCCTTCAGCCATCTAGCTAGAGTCGTTGGATTCGTCGTCGCCAGTAGAGGAATCATCACCATTAATATTAACAATAACAACATCATTTTTAGTTTTTTTTTTTAGTTGAAAATTTCTTTTTTTGCCAAATTGTTGTTTCTCCTTTTGCAACTGTTCGAGGACTTGTTGTAATTCTTCTTCAGAAACAACGTCACCAAAGAATTTTGAAAAAGATTCGGGAGCATAAACATCGTCGTCGTCGTCGCCAGGAAAGAAATCATGTTGTGATAACTCGTCACGAGCTGACAAAGTTTTCAAAGTATCGTAAATCAAGGATTTGTTGTCGGATGATGTGGTTGCTGATTTTGTAGACATTTTTATAAAATTTAATGAATGTTTTTTGATTGAAAGTTAAGTTATGTGTGTGAGAGTGATTTATTATTTTTGATTTTTATTTTTTTATTTGAAATATTATTATTTATTATTAAAAAGTTTTTTTTTAAAAAAATTAGTGGGAATATCGAGCCTATTTGTACTGTTTTTTTCTTTAATAAATTTACCAAAAAAATAAATAAATAATAAAGTTTATATTTTTATTCAGATTTTCATTGTTAACGTCCTTAACTGTTAAAAATTCTTTGTTTTCGAAGAAATTTGTTTGTTTTTCGCGTTTGATAAAATAAATTAATTAATAATAATTTTATTAAAGAGAAAAATTTTTTTTCCATTATTTACAAAGCTGTTCGCTCTTTTAAGGAAAACCACTATTACAACAATACACAAGCGTGCGCACACGCATACTTCCCATTATATATTGCCGTTCTTTTTTATAATTCATTGTACAATCCAAATAAAACTTTACGAATAAAGAAAAATTACATTCCATTTTTTAACAATGATCGCATAAATATTTATGATCAACACAAACACACAAACACACTCTCACACACTCCACACCACTCATCATCATTTACCACTTAATTAATTGATCTCCTCCACATGAACGTTAATTAAAGTAACAAAGAGTTTTTATTTTTCAAATGCTAATACTATTGTAATTAACATTTTTCCGACATAAAGGATAATCGTAAGATGTATTTTTTTTTTTTTTTTTTTTTAATAAAATCACACGAATCAAGAAAGAGTTTATTGTATAAACTTTATAAACAAGAAACGATGAATGTTTTTGTTGTTGTCGTTGTTATGGATGGCTTTTCTCCTATTTTGTTCAAGAAGAACAATTAATTTTACGTCATTCATTATTTCAATTAATTACACCACTTAAACTTTATATTAAAATATAAATATAATGGAATTTATTTTACAAATTCCCAAAAGTAGTTTGTTGATTATTAAACGAAATACATAAATCTTGTTATTTAGGAAAAAATCCTTTTCTTACATTTTTTTTATCAAGTTTGATTTGTTCATTTTAGACTTGTTTCCAAAACAAAAATAAATTAATACACAATAACAAGTAAGCCTGTTTCTCGAAATTTCGTCGTGTAACTATTACTATAGTGTAAATTTAGAAACTATTACTACGTACGTATATATATATTACTCAAAATGTAACCAACACTGCAAATCGCTAATTCATGGAAATAATCGTCGCTGCTGTTTGCCACAATTAATATGGCAGCAGAGATATTGATCAGGTTTCTCCCCAATAATAATAATAACAAGTTCCTCGTGTTACGGGCAAGCATTAGCATCTAGATTCCAACTCACATGATATTGATGAGAATTTACCATTGCCAAATGCAATAACAACTGTATCATCACCATTACCATTTGCTATTCTCTCACACAGCACATAAAAGGCTTTCTGTTTATTAATAAAGGATTTCCATCGCAAATGACGCCAGTGACGTTCACCATAAAAATCAAGGATTGCATCGAATGTAAGCGAGGTAAGAGCCATATTCATAGACGTGTTGGAATTTCTAGGGTTTGTATTGGTATTAAGTGAAGGGTATGCAAGTAATATTATTCAATGTTATTCTTGCAAATTAAATTAACAAAATATAGCTCATCTCGAACAACAGCCCAAAGATATTTTCCTTAAAATCAACATCACATGATCTTCTCTTTTATTTTCGCTGGTATATAACATGACGTGAAAGTTGTCTTTAACACATTTCTTTTATAGTTTATTCATTAAATGTCAAAAGAAATAATGCCAAAACATCAAATATAATATATATTTTTTTAATTGAAAAAAAAATTTATGCTTCTGTTTTTATCACGAGAATACTTTTCTTGCAAATATTATCGAAATTTTGTGTTTGACGGTTGCTGCAGTTCATATAATTTTAAAGTTTTATTACTAATTGTTGAATATAAAAAATTTATTTTTTTGAATGATTTATTTTATTGCCTCTATTACTATTATTAATTAATATTATATACACAGTGAATCTCGATTTAGCGGACCTCGATTTAGCGGATACTAATTAAAAATCTCGGTTTTACGGATAAAGTTCAAAGAACGGTTCCGTAATAGTAATAAAAACCTTTTTGATATAGCGGATATCTCGGTTTAACGGATTTTTGGAAAATTTTCCCTAATACTAACTATCCGCTAAATCGAGACTTCTTCCATCAACAACGTGATTTGTGACCAATTAGTCAATATTTTCTGACCAATCAATTTTGAATTGTGAATTTCAATTAACAACAACATAGTATTTATTTAAAAAAAAAAATGGATAATGAAGAAATCATTCAAGTCGAAGATGTTCCTATTATTACTGAGGGAATTTCTGATATAGAGGAAATAGTTGGGGATCAAACTTTGAATGAGAGTAATGAAACAGAAGAACAAGAATTATTAACTTATTCAGAACAACAACGTCTTATGCTTGGTAAATAATAATAATTATTAATAAAGTATTTTTCACTCTTGCTACCCAGTGATTATTAAACTTTATTTGAAAAAAAATAAAATTAGGAGCGATTAGTCACAATGCATTACAAAGGCTTGATACTCTAAGGAAAAAAGTGATTGAGCAAACATCTGAAATACAAAACTATCAACAAAAACTATCAACTAAAGGTTAAAAACCAAAAATTTTTATTGATATAATGTAAAATTAAATTTTGCACATGATATATTTGTTTATATTAAACACCAATTTAATAATCACTTTGTACAGACATTGAGATAAAGATCCTTCAAGAAAAACTTGATAATTCCAACAATGAACTTATTAAAGTCAAAGCAGATCATGATAATAATAATATTGAATATAATCAAAAGAAGGAAGAATTTATTGTTTCGTTAAATCAAAAAAACGAAGAAATAATATCTTATAAGAGTAATTAAAATTAATCATTGTTATTTTGGAAATTGGATATATTTTCTATCAATTTTTAAGCCTTTATATTTTTTTTCCATTTTTATGAATTGATTAATAGAGGAGAGAGAGGAGTTGACTGTTAAACAAAATGAATTACAAAATTTAATTACAAATCAAGAAATTGAGTTAAAAAAATCAAATGAAAATATAATACATTTGAAGGTAAAATATATATATATATATATATATATATTATTATTAAAAAATACTGTTATATATTGGTTCAATTAATTAAGTAATTATTTGTTAAATTTAGGGTGCGGCGGAACAAACACAAAGTAACAAGGATAATATTAATACAACTTTACAAGATCAGATAAATAAATTAAAACAACATATAATAGAAATTACTAATTCTAAAGTATTTAATTTATTTATTTTATTGTATATTTATTTTATTAATTAATCAATTTAAATTGATTGATTGTTAACTATTCTCAAATGATTTTGTTGCAATTTAGAATAAAGAGATTGAAAATCTTAAGAAAGAAAAAGATAAATATTATAATGATTTTAAAGGTGTTGAAGCCAAAATGATAAATTATTCTTCCCAAGCCCAAAAGCAAATTCATAAACTTAATGAAGAGAAAAAAGCAATCACAAATAATGCTAATACAGAAAAAATCACAATCAGAAACAAGTTTGAGGAATTGAAAAAACAACTATTAGAGTGTAAAAGGAGTAATCAATCATTAGAAAGTTAGTATTATCATCATTATTCTTATGGTAGTAACATCAGTGAATAATATTGATGATAATGATTATTATTATTATTATTTGTAAATAATTTTTTAAATTGCCTTATATTTTTTTTTTTATCTAGATGAAATTTCAAACTTCCAGAAACAATCTAATGAATTAGAACAAAAATGCCTTCAAGTAATTCGAGTTTCTTTTAAATTTTTCTGAATAATTTAGTCAGATCATTTAATATTTTATAAATTTTATTATTAAAAAATATAAAGTATGAAAAAGATATAGAAACACTTACCAACACAAACAAAGATTTACAACAAAAATATGATAATTTACTTGGAGAAATGAATAATAGAATTACAACCGACCTTATAAATAATTCGATATTAAATACTCCTAATCAACCTAGAACACTTGTGAGACACATGAATTATCAATCGGTCACCCCTGTTGGATCATTGACACCTGGTATTTGGCTGTTCTAATTCTTTTATAGATAATATTAAAATCTTGGGGATTTTTAATATTTTTAATAACATGTAAATTGAAAAAATTTTTTTTTTTTAGCACAAGGTCTCAATTCTCCAATTGCTAATACACCTAGGAATTTTGATATTACACTTGGACATTCACCCAATATTCCAAATCTTCTCATTAAAGATTTAACATCTACTTCTATCACTAATGAGTCAGCAAGCATTGAAAGTATGAAACAGTCATTAGAACGGCAAAATAGAAATGTTATTGAATTGGTATGTATATATATATATATATATTTGTGACTTTAAAAACCATTTATCCATTATTAATAAATTAAAATATGATATATATATATATATATGTATACATATTTTAAAAGACTAATGCAAGGTTAGAACTATTCAATCAATATTCTAAAGAAAAAAACAAAAACAAGAAATTATCCGAGACATTGGCCGATCTCAACAAAAAACTCAAAGAATACGTGAGCACAATCAATCAATCATCACATCATATTTATTACAAGATAACATAATAATAACGTGTTAATATTTGGTTATATTTAGGTTCCCAAAGCTCAGGAAAGAAAAAAAGAGATTACAAAAATAGCTAATGAGTGTAACAATTTGTCATCACAGCTTAACATGAGAAATGAAGAAATTGGATATTTAAGTGAAGAGGTGCAAAATCTTCAATTTGAAAAAGACCAGCTTAGCGAACGACTATTGCAACTAGATGCTGGTAAATATATTCTTTTATTTCCAAAAATATATTTTAAAATTAATTTACAATTATAATGATAATTTTGATTTTATTTTTAGAAAGACAAATAGTCATGGATCATAACACAAGTCTAATCAGAGTTGTTGAAAGTCTTAAACAAAGTGGTGGTTTAACCGGTTTACAAACTCCAACAATGACGATACCTTCCACTGAATCTGATACTTTACCACACGATGTTCCGGAGTTGATTCAAATCTACACCAGAGTTAAAGCTGAACAACAATGTCATGTCATCAAGATTCAGAGACTTGAAAATCAAGTTAAAGATTTGGAACAAACTAAAGAGAAATTATTGGATTCCATTAAATATATTAGAGGGGTGAACATTCGTCTGAAAAGTCAAGCATATTTGTTAAGCGCAGAACTTGAAAATGAAAGAAAATTACATGTTGAATTATCAGATTATATTAAAGGAAACAATTTGAGTAATCGTGATAAATTATTATTAACAACAACCAATAATAATAGTAGTAATAGCGAAGATGGTTCTGCTCAAAAATTACAGGATCTTAAAAAAGAAAATTCGGAATTAAAGGTAAATCATTATATATGTGGGCATGTGTTTGTTTATTTAAATATAATTATAATAATGTATTTATGTGTGATATAGATGGAATATGAAATAATCAAAAGTGAATTGAAGAATATCGGAAAAAATTTAGAAGCAGCAAATAAAGAGTTGTTTAGTTATCGGCTTGAGAGAACAGAATATGAATTCCATAAAAAGTCATTGGAAGGTAGTTGAATGATTGATTGAATGATTGATTGATATATTAAAGTAAAATTATATAATAAGCATTATTTTTTTTTTTTTGGATAATCAGATAATTACAAAATTCTAGAAGCTCGATTTAATCTCAAAGAAGAAGAATGTCGTAGTGTTAAGGAAGTGTTGGATCAAATACGTAAACTGAATCAACAAATCGAAGAACAATTTTCAAAGGTATATATCATATATACATATATATCAGTGTTTAGTGTGTCATATTTATATTTCTTAATAATATTATTCCTTTATTAATTATGATTTTTTTTTTGATAGGCAAATAATGAAAGAACAGTAATGAGTGCTGAGCTTAATAACGTGAAATTTGAACTAGCTTCAGCCAAGGACAAATTATCTGATTCACAACGAGAATATGTTAAAGATTTGAATGAATTACATGTTGCAAGAGAGAAAGCAGAAAATTCATACAAAGAGGCACAAACATTGAAACAAGCTAATCAAGAACTTGAAAACAAGTATAACCAAACACAAGAGGAATTAAATAAATCTCAAGCCGAAGTTGAAAATCTTAAAGTGCAATTATCAGAATTGGATGAAAAACTTTCTAGTACTAATATTAAATGGACAGAAGAAAACCAAAAATTTGTAGATTCTGCTAAACAAGCAAGTGGTAAAGTTGATGAATTACAAACTAGTATTGATGAATTGAAGAAAAAAGTTGAGGAGCAAGCTGATGAATTGAAAAAATCTCAAGAAAGATTGACTGTTTATGAACAAAGTGAGCAAGGAGAATTCATTACTAAATTAAGGTGATATTAAAAAATTTTTTTTTAAAAAAATTTTTTTCTTTAGTATTTGTAAAATAAAATTTAAATATTTGATTTAATTAATAGGAAAGAATTAGATTCTGCTAATGAAGTAATAAGTGTATCGAATAAGACAACAGATGATCTTAAAATTTCCCTTAAAACCCTTGAACTTGTTTCAACTAATGCCAAAAAAGACTATGAACAAACTAAAGCTACTCTAGAAAAAGAAAGAGTCGAATTCCAGGTATGATTATGGATTTTTTTTTTAATGTTAGATTTTCCTCATGCATTTAACATTTATAATTGTTATAATTGTAATGCAGTCACGATCAAAAGATTTTGATAGAATGGATGAAGAAAGTCAAAAAATGAGAAGTGAACTTTCACAAATTAAACGAGAGTTTACAGAAATGACAATGGAAAAGAAACAACTTGAAAAGGAACTGAATGATATCAAAAATAAATTCGAAGATGATATAATACAATATCAATCAGAAATTCAAAAAAAAGAAGATATTTTGACAGAATTACAAAACAAATACAATCATGAATTGCAAATTCATATTAAAGATTCTCAAATGTTGAATGAAGTTAGACAACAATGCTCACAACTACAATCTGATATTAAAAAGATAACGGTAATGATTAATCATGATAATGATGATAGTTATTTTAAAAAGCGAACTGATTGAATAATTGATTTTTTGATATTATTTAAATCAGAATCAAAAGGAAACTTTAGAATTGCTATTGTCCCAAGAAAAAGAAAATCTCAATAGGGAATTGACGGAGTCAAGGACCCGGTAAAGATAGATGACAATTAAGATCTTATTCTAAAGATTATTTATTCAAAATTGCTCATTATAATTTTTTTTTTTAAATCTAGCTGTAAAGATCTTGAAGAAAGTAACAGTGTCATTCAGAGCTATCTTGATAAGGAAACTGACATGTCAGAAGATAAAGTGATGCCAATACTGAGAAAGGAGAATGAAAGATTAATAGGTCAAAGAGAATTCTATCAACAAGAAGTTGAAAAATATAAAGCACTTCTTGAATTGAAACAGAAGACTTTTGATGAATTGGAACAAACATTAAATAAAGTAAGTGACTGGCTGATAGAAAATATTCTTAATTGTATCATAAAACATTCTGATTGGAGTTTTTTTTTAGGAACGAGAGCAAAAAGATTCTATTGATTTAGAGCAATTGAAATCTCAACTACTTGAGAAACAAAATCAAATAAAGATACTTGAGGAAAGTAATAGAAGTCTTAGATCTGATTATGATAAAATGAAGAGCGAGGTTGAACGATTGAATAAGTCAATAGATGATTCCAATAATGATAAACTTAAAATTGGGGGTATACACATCTTTTTCCTTGAAAAATGATTTATAATATTTATGCTAAATATATCAAAAGTTTTTTATTCAATGATTCTTTTCCTTCATTTTTTTTTTAAAAAAAAAAAAAAAGGCGAGAATGACAAATTAAAATTAGAAATTGAAAAATCTGGCAAAGAATTAAAACGTTTAGAAGATGATAACGTTTGGTGGAAAGATCGATTCCAGAGAGTTTTAGAGAAACATGGAGTATGTACATTCTTTTCTCCTCTACATGATTGTTGTTGTTGTTATTGTAATAATTCTAATCATCACCATTTATATTAATATTTAATTTTATTATAATAGATAAGTGATCCAAATGATCTTCAAAAAATGAAAGATGATTTAAAAAAAATTAAAGAAGAAAGTGACATACTAAAAACTGAAAATCCAAAATTGAAGACAGAAGTACTTAGTCTGAGAAAGCAAATTCTCGAATTCAAAAGACAATATGAAAATTTCAAGAAACAATCTGAAGATACAAAAAAACAATTTGAAGATTCAAAAAAACAATCTGAGGATTCAAAAAAACAATCCGAAGATTCAAAAAAACAATCCGAAGAGTTGAAAAAACAAATAGATGAATTCAAGAAACAAATAGATGACTTGAATAAAGAAATTGCCAGACTTAAGGAAGCTGATAAAAATTTTCAAACTCTCAAAACACAGGTAGGTTTTAGTAATATATATATATATGTTTGATCAGTAGTTTTTTATTTTATAAATGAATAATAATTTAATAATGTTATTATTTTTTTTTTTTGATTTTTAGCATGAAAGTTTAAAAGGTTATGCACAAAAATTGAAAACAGAATTATTAAGATTAAAAACTCAAGAAACACTTTGGACCAATAAAAATAAAAAACTTGAGAATGAAATTGCTGAGTTGAAAAAGGCTCAAGCAACTACATCGACTCCTATACAGTCGGTAGCTGAAGTCACTCCAACGGAACAACAGCAGCAACAGCAGCAGCAACAACAACAACAACAACAACAACAACAAAAACAACAATTGCAGCAGCTGGCACTACAACGACAACAGCTGCAACAAAGACAACAACAACTACAAATCCAAAAACAACAGCAACTGCAAAAACAGCAGCAGCAGCAGCAGCAGCAGCAACTACAACAGCAACAGCAAAAGCAACAGCAACAGCAAAAGCAACAAGTAGAAGCTTCGGCTGCGGAGACTACTACCATCACCACTCCAGGCCATGTGGATGTTCCTAATCCTGAAGTAATTTCTAAACCTGTTGAAACTCCAAAACTTGAAACAACAACAACTGAAACAGAGACACAAACTCCAACAATAACCAATCCTACTACAACTAAAACTGAAGTTGATGCTGCTGAAACTGATGCTGATGCTGAAAATGAAGCTGATACTGCTACTGCTACTATTGAACCTACCGTTGAACCTACTGTTGAACCCATTGTCGAACCTACTGTTGAACCTATTGTCGAACCTACTGTTGAGCCTACTACTGAACCTACTATCCAACCTACCGTTGAACCTACCGTTGAGCCTACTATTGAACCTACTATCCAACCTACCATTGAACCTACCGTTGAACCTACCGTTGAACCTACTATTGAACCTACTATCCAACCTACAGAGACACCAATTAAAACTCAGGATGCACCTAAATCTGAAGAAACATATAAACCACCAGTAAAATTACAAAGACGGGGTCCTTTAGAGCTACCACCATCTACTGTTACTCAAATCAAACGACCTAGAGAAGAAGAACCACCTCAAGCAACAGATGATATAAATAAAAAGGCAAAAACTGATTCTTGATTATTTTTTAATGTATATTTTTTTGTTTTAACATTATTTATTCGATTAATTGATTAAAAGCTTCTTTATTCAATTAATTGATTAAAGGTTTCTTTAATAATGTATATAAATGTTTTTTATTTTTTTTTTAACTAAAAAAGTATAGAATAGAAATTCATTTTCTCATTTTAATTAAAAATTTATTTTCTTTCAAAACGAACTTTAATATTTTAATTTTGATTTATTGGGTTTTTAAATTATTTGATTACTTTCAATAAAATATACTGGAAAATTTTGTGACATCTCCCAATGAATTTCAATTTCAAATTTTCATTCATTATCAGTTATTGTGCAGGTACTAAAGTAAAAATTAATATTAAAGGTATTAGTATTAGTAATTAGTATATAAAAAGATCTGTTTTTCACAAATTTATGAAGTCATTTAAAAAAAAAATTAAAGATTATTATGTGAACCAATAATTTCATATCAATTTTGTGGGCAAATTAGGATTTATAGAGGAAAATGATAAAAGGCGAATATGATCTTATGAATAAATCAATTTACGTATTAATTCAACTATCATATCGAAAATTTATTTACAGAGATGTTGTATTGAATAGAGTTGTATTATGCAATGGTAAAGAAGAAAACTAGATATAATGATAAATATATTGAGATGTTTAAAAGCAAATAGTGAAATGTACAAGTATGCTTTGGAATTACATAAAGAAATTACTTGGGAAAATAAAATCATAAAATTAACTTTATACATTTTTATTGTTATTAAAATAAATTATATTGAGGAAAATTCCTAAAAATTTAATTGTTATTTGTTGTTATTATTATTATTGATACGTTAATTATGTTAAACCGTTTAAAAAAAAAAAAAAATACTAACCTCTTACATTGAACCTATACTAAGTACAAGTCCTACATAGACAGCCTACAATAAAGTGTCTCAGGTGTAAGCCCCAACATCGTGAACGACTCTTGTTGTTTTTCAGTAATATACTTCAAAAGTATATTTCGAGCTCCGTTTACATCTCTATTAATGGTGGATTTGCAAGATGTACAATTAAAGATCTTTGAACCGCCCAAATTTGACTTGATGACTCCACAACATCCACATGTTTTGCTGGTGTATTCCTCAGTGCAGATGATGACCTTGAACCAAGGGTACTCACGGGATTTGTGGAGCAAATATTGGCGAAAACGGTAATGTGACTAAGGTTTCCGGCCGAAACTCTCTTTATTAGTAACTGAAATTGCCAAAACATTTTGGGCAAAAATTACTTTTTTATAAGCCCAACTATTTTTTGTTATTAGCCGAAATCGGACAAAAATACTTTATAAAAAATGCCGAGAAGCTGCCCCCAACTAGTTTGGATTTTGAGAAAACAGTTTGGACCGAAAACCTTAAATGTGACCAGGTCATCATTTGTCTTGCTGTTTTAGAGTGAATTTTTCTAGAATCGCATTTTTTAACCATACCTTGTGTTTTAAAACTCAGGGAGCAAAACTATATGGTGGTTTTCACACAACCATCTTGCTAATCTTTGATGACATTCATCCACAGGATTACGGATTTTCTTGTGGATCCGGAGCATGCACCGACGGAGCTTATACCTTTTATATTTATTTGTTTGCCATGAATAAAATCCCTTTCACCTTGGATTCTATCATAATGCAAGCACAAGCGATGTATTCTACTAATATCCCCTTTTCCCCATTCTAGAACCTCACCAAGACGATTCATGGTGAGACGAAGTTCATAATTTATTTCGGGTATTTTTTTGCTTGTTTTAATACCTTTGAGAAATGAATAATGACCACGATTTCATCCCCAGTCCCTTGATAAAATGGTGATGCATTGTGATTTATCCTTTTTAGATCTGAACTTCAATTTAAAGTTTTCTTTTTAAAGCAAAATTAGACTTATAATTTTTTAAAAGGTCCATCATTGTTGCATCCTTAATGTCATGAGGTGTATCAAGAGCCCACTTAAGACTAATGTCTTTAAATTTTTCAGATTTATTAGTGATATAATTTTCATGTAAATACTTTCTATCTTTGTTTTTTATATCACTGTTAATTGCAGCTAGGCATTGGTTGTATGTCCAGCGTGCACAGTACCAATCCATTTTAATAGTTTATTTTTTTCCTCCGAATTAGGGTAAGGTCTAATTTTATGAGTTTTTCCTGATGGAGATTTTTTGGAAGAGGATGCTGAAGATAAAGGAATAGCATCAAAAGAAGGTGGCGAAGTTAAATTCTAGAAGAAATTGCATCTTTAAAATTATTCCATGTTCCATCTGGTAAAAGGGAAAGATTATTTAAATCTGTGGGTGTTGGTTTAATTGAGTCAACTGTAATACATGAACCAAAAGCTATTCTTTTTAAAAAGTCGCTTCATTGACTCGAGCACAATACTTCACTATTAGTTTTTAGGGGTAACTAACACCAATTTGTGAGTTTTTGAGTGAATTCATCCCAGAATGGCTTGTATCTTTTTACATTCAAAGAAGTTGTTTGTGATGGCGAGTCAGAAGATTGCATAAAAGTTTCAATAAAAATTTATATTTTTAAAAATTGAATATAATTGTGCAAAAAGTAAACATTATTTCTTTCAAAAAAATTTTTTGAATTTGAAAAAGATAAATTGTAATATATATATGTATAATAACAAATATTTTCTGTATTAATTGTGAAACAATCAATTATGTTTAAAAATATTTTCTGACCGTAATTAATCATGAAATCAATCAAAAAATTATTTTCCGACTGTATGTTTGTGAAATTAACCATTGAAATCAGTCAAAAAAAAAAAAAAAAAATTTTTTTCTGATTGTATTTTGGGTCTCTCCCACTTTACCGACAATCAAGTAGGTTTCTAGCCCAAATTGCCAAAATAGTTCGAGCTTTGAGAAACAGTTTGGGCTTGAAACCTACTTGATTGTCGGTAGAATGTCCGTCGGTAAAGTGACCCAGACCCGTATTTTTGTGGAATTAATCGTGAAACAATCAATTATGTTTAGAAAATATTTCTGACTGCATGTTTGTGAAATTAATCATGAAATCAATTAAAAAATATTTTCCGACTGCATGTTTGTGAAATTAATCACATGGTTGTAGTAGCGTTGCATGTTAACAATATAGTTGCTCTATCTTTGCTTTGTGCCTGTAATAATCTGCGTACTGACTAAAGTCAAGTTTAGTCAAGTTTAGTCAAGACAATTATTACTAAATTGAGATTTTAACCCCTTTTACGCTGCCAGCCCTGATTCCTATGAAAGCATTCTATCTTTAAAAGCTTGAGCTATTTTAATTACAATTTCCCTTTATTATTTTCCATGTTTGAAGAAAGAAGATACAAACATTATTTTTGTATTGGTTAAAATGGTAGTGATGGTCAGGAATTTTCATGAAAAAAAAAAATTAGCATGTGTTATTCACAAGATTACAAATGTTTCAATTAATTCGAATTTGCCAATTTTTTTTCTTTTTTTGTTGAATTTTCGCGTTTTACAAAGGATAAATTGTTTATATAAAATAAATTAAAAATGTTCGAGCCCCAACTTTTTATTAATTTATTTTTTCGACAACATTAACAAATCAACATGTCGACAACTACCACCACATCCACCATATCCTCATCCATAAACAAAGTTATTAATGATAACGAGCAAAATAATAACGGTATTTATTTATTTATTATTATTTAGTAGTTTGACTTTTTCGTTTTTTTTGTAAAAATATTTTTTAAATGTTTTTTTTAAATTTTTCAGAACTAGTTTCGTTAAGTTCTCACTCGAAATATGATGATGGTTTCAGAGAAAGATTTAATCAAAACATGGATAATAAATTTGCACTTCAAAGTACCATTAATAAAAGAGCGGCGAATCCAAATAAAACCAATTCGAAAGGTCTAACGTACTACATTATGAATCCTAGTGATTTACGAGAAGATTATCCAGTCTGGCATTATTTTTATCTTTGCACGCTGATATTTGGAGCATTTATTACTTTATTCATTGTACCTGTCGTATTCGGTATGTTGGCGGCAATTGGCGGCATTGGGACTCCACTTGTTTTATCAATCGTTGGAAGTTTTTTCGGTCTTTTCCTTGGAGCTGTATTTGGCGTTGTATTCGCAGTAGTTTGCATTATTTTCTTGATGAAATCTCTTGGTTTTGCTGCTGAATGGATTTTGGATGTTCTTTCTAATGGTGGTAATGATTTAGTTGAAATTACCAAAGAGCAATTTATCCAATTTGTTAATAACTCTCCATCTCAATAAATATTATTATCATTATTTTAGTAGAAATATTTTTATATTTATATAAATATAGACTTTATAAATGGAATTTTATTTTATTTTATAATTAATAAAGCATTTTTTTTTTGCTGGCAATTTCTAATTCATACGATTAATAACAATCATTTCCTTTATATCCAAGATGTCATATTAATATATATATATTACTAAAAGTGAATTACTATTTTAAATATAATAAAAATAGGGATTGGAATATGAAAAAAAAAACACTATTCAGCAGGAATTACAAGGTAGCAGGATGTATTGCGTCTAATTATTAAAAATTTTTTCATGGATATGCGTGGTATTTGTCAATTTCATTAAAAAGTAGTAATGAATAGATTCACAAGACACACTCTACAACTATGGAATGAAATGTAACAACTAATCTTACCAGGGAAGAATCATCTTGTAATAGCCAAGATCCAAATGCACCAGTATCACCTATAAAATGAAAATTGTATATCACTAGCATTTGAAGAAGGAAAAAGTGCAAACATGTTGGTTTTGTTGTTGAACCGTATATGAATCTTGAATGCATGAATTATTATTTGTAAAAGATCCCAGGATCGTGATCATTGATAGTAAAGCATTGACTTGGCTTCAAATAATGCATGCAAAAACTTGGGATGGTTATAAATAGAAAAATACTAGAAATGAAAAAAATATCTAATGATAAATGAGATGATTGGTTAGATGGTGGTTTTTCATGATTGAAGCGGTAATTGGTAATTAAATACTTGTTGCATTTGTGTACTTTTTATAAAATCAACATCATTATTGTCATTTCATTTTGAAATGTCTATTAGCATAAGTACAGTATGAGATGATTCGTGAAAATATTATTTTGGATTTTATAAATGTTTTGGAACAATTCATTCATTCTTTACTTTCTTTAATAATATATTTATTTGTACGTACTAAGTAACATTTGCTTTCATTTTCAATTTCAAGTCTATAAGTTATTCGAATCCTTGTTTCAATTTATTTTACAAAATAAAGTAAAAGCAAGAAAGTTCTTTTGATTTCTTAAAAATCATTTTTTAAATCTTTATAATAATAATAATGAGAATATCCGGAACACTACTTTCATCTCTTGGTGTAATTTGGTGCTAAAAAAATGACAATTTAGAAAAATATTTAGATTTTTTGCCTTATCTTTTTGAATCAAAATCAGACAAGTGGTGGAATGCATGTCTCAATTGTAAACGTTGCTAATGCGCTAGTCATGCGAAGCATTTGCAATATTTGATAGTTATCAAGATAATTAATACCATGGTGATAGTTTAATAATTTATGCATTTATTATTTAAGTTGTTTAAAAATAATTGTGGTTAAG